GCCTTTCCCAGCGAGGTGTCTTCCTGTCCCGGAGCGGCGTGGCTCTCCAGCTCTGGACCCTTTCCGTCCCCCTGTTGGGTGCTTACCCACACGGTGTGCGATCATCCCGCCACCCTCTCCGTGCTCTCCACCGCTGCCTTGCCCCGGTGTCCAAACCGGGGCATTTGGGTTCAAACCCATCGGCAGCTGTCTCCAAGTTGGCTTATCACGACCTACCTCGATCTCGTGACCGCGGTAACTCCCGACCGCCAAACTCAGGATCCTCTCCTACACGGTGCTAGGGACCGTATATCCGTCGTTGTTGGGTGGTTTTTTCGAGGGTTAACTGCACTTGCGGGCCTCGGCCTCCCCCGGGGAGGGGAGGAGGGGGGAGGCGGAGAGAGTCATTGTTTGGAACATTGCCTGGACCGGTCTTCATACAACAGAGTATTTCCGTGACCGTTTATTCTTCCCCCATAGTGTGGGATAAGACAGTGGCTTCACCTCCCGCGGCTGGTGAAGTCACCCTCTCCCTGAGCTTTTTTGTAGAATCGATTTTCGCGAAAGCCTGCTGCACTGGGGCACTGTTGTCCTGCAGAGTTGCCGCATTTCGTCCGCATGTCCGCATCCTCGACAGCATGTCTCGAACCAGCTGAATGCATGACGTCTGCGGTATTATGCTGCTTTTGTGGTCGAAGCGGGGAACGACAAACAGGTTCACATGTACTGGAATTTTACACGCTCTTGCTTGTGCAGGGTACAGGCACACAGGCACCAGTGCTTTGACGCCTGGTATATCCCACAGGTGAAGTTGGTACTGGACAGGAACATCACGTATTCTGATATGCCGCTTACCTATGTTGGCATCGCACTTTGTTCGGGTCTGCTCTAGACTATACAAGTCAATGCTTGTATCATGACCTTTAAACAAACAACCGTTCGCCGTTCAACCTCAGCACTCGACGCGATGGAACAGCTGTGGCACTAGGGGCATGCGCATGGAGGTGGAGGAGCTTGAACCACTCAATCCAGCCATCAAGGGCAAAAAGCTGGAGATCGTCGATGAGGTTCGAAACATGCACACAAACCTGTTGGAACATATTTCGTTGGTTACGGCTACGTCGATATGACAGAGAGACGCTCAATCGTGCGCTGGGCAACCTGAAGTCACTCGGTCTCAAGCCGTGATTCGAACATGCAAACGATGAGGCGTACTATTGCTTTGCTGTTGATTTGTTGGAGCCCCCGCCCCCGGTGTTTGCCATCGGGGTTGGGTTTTCGTCGCTTGGCAACGATGCTGTAATACTGCAAATCGAGTTATATGTTTCTGCGGCTTTGCTCACAGCGATCTGCTTCCAGACCTTGTCGCCCTCTAGCAACGAGGGCGGTGAATATCAGTACGTGTTAAGCTGGTCGGGGAATTGGCACATTAGCTGTTCGTTTAGTTTTTGTGTTTGTACGAATCGGAGCTTTTCTGTTGTGATCAGAGCTTCCGGTCATGTAGTAGGGCTGTGTGTTCGTCCTGAATAGACTGCTCTGGGTGCCAGATCTACACCTTGTCTGACATATCAGCCGGGGTTACACAGAGCCGGTCGCCCCGGTGGTCTAGTGGGTAGCCTCGCAGCCTGCTAAGGGCCAGGTCATGGGTTCGAGTCCCGGCAGAGAGAGTTTTTTTCTCACTAAATAAATCCTGGTCTAGGATGAAAGCGACGCGCTGCAAAGCTCGTTTGTTAGTAAACCATAATCGACTTCGTAAGTCGCGAGGGAAGGGATTGCTGTACCCTTCTCGCGATAAAAATACCTCAGGCATGAACCGCAGGAGGGGGTCCAACCCCCCCCTCCTATGTGACCCCGGTTGGGTCGTCTAGC